ATTCTGGGATTTGGAACTTGACAGATTTGGGACATTAAGGATTTTGGACTTTAGGGATTTAGGACCTTAGTGACTTGGGACATTATGGATTTAAGAGTTTAGCGATTTGGGAATTTTAGAATTTAAGTCTTGATAGGTTTGAGATGTTAAGGATTTAAGAAGTTAAGTATTTATGACTTTAGGGATTTGTAATTCAAGGAATGTGGAACTTCGTATATTTAGAACTTTGAGGATCTGGAACATTTAAGACTTTGAAATTTTAGAACTAGTAAATTCAATAATTTTGAGGATCTGCAACCTTGAAGTCCTAAGGCTTCTAGAACTTGGAGGTTCCAGAGTTCTAGCAATTGAAACTTTCCTAATTACAACATTTTAGGGATTCAGAACTTTAAAGACTACAACTTTCAAGTTGTAATCAAATAAATCAACTAAATTAATCGAAAAGATTCAACTTCCCTAAACTTAGCCTTTCTCAGAAATCCATAAACATAAAACTAAAACTAAGAATTACTCATAAGCCATTCGAAATGTCAAAGCGTGGTCGTTGAAAGTTTTACTATTGCACTTCTCAAATTTAGAACGGATGTATTAATCATTCAAAATTTGTTATTGGATACATAAGGATCCAAGAATATTCTGAATGCAAATGTCATACATGACTTCACAATTCTGCGTTTCATTGTAACTTTCAAATTTTACGGATATTATAAGTAGCCATACTTAATTGAGCTTACGCCTGTCCAAGACATTCCTGAATCTGCAAAAGGTTAACTTATTTGTTGTACGTTCGAATGAAACAGCAGTTTAGAAGCGGTTTTACAAGTTCCTGTGATCAATGTTTTCAATCAATTACATTCGCTGCCTGATGTTATATAGTGACGTATAACTGTTCGTGGCTTTCTATTCATTTGACGCGAATTGCTTCTGTACATCTGGGGGCAAATATGTATACTTGAAATTTTTAAATACATACATATTTAACACTAGAACTACCGACATTAAATGCTCGTTTATCGAAGAATTAAAAATAAAATAAAAAGGGAAATAAATACTAAAGCATCAAGTAACATATAGAACTAGTTTTTACTTTAACAAAATATGACAGACATTTCCATAAAATCACGACAATAAAATTTTGTAATATAAAATGAGAAATCTGAAACCAGTCATTTTGACTGAATGGTAGTTCTAGTGTTAAGTACATATTTTAAGTATAAACTTTCAAGTTTTTAAATTTTATTAGTTTATACATTACTAAATTTCTTAGGTATTAAAGTTCATAAATTTCTGAATCGGTAAATTGTAAGTTTCTCAAACTTCCGAAGTACTATAAGGTACCTTGAATACCTACATCTCAAATTTGACAAATTTCCAAGTTTCTAAAGATTCGAATTCCAGATATTAAATTTGACGAACCACAAATTCTTATAATTCAAATTTCTCAAGCTCTCAAATTCCCTAAATTCCCAAAATCATAAAGTTTCGAATCCCTAAGTATCAAATTTTTCAAATCCAAAATCTCCAAAGTAGCAAACCTTAAATCCCAAATTTGTCACATTACAAATTCCTAAGTACCGAATTTCTCAAATCCCAAATTCTCAAAGTACCAAACCCCTAAATCCCAAATTTGTCATTCCCCAAATTCCTAAAGTTCGGAATCTCTAAATCCTAAATTTGTCAAACCCCAAATTCCCAAAGTTCTGAATCCCTAAGTCCCTAATTCTCAAACCCCAAATCCCAAATTCCGAATCTCTAAATAGCAAATTCCTAAACTTTCGAATCTCTAAATCCCAAATTTGTCATCCCCCAAATTCCTAAACTTTCGAATCTCTAAATCGCAAATTTGTCATCTCCCAAATTCCTAAAGTTCGGAATCCCTAAATCTCCAATTTGTCATCCCCCAAATTCCTAAACTTCCGAATGCCTAAATCCTAAATTTGTCATCCCTCAAATTCCTAAACTTTCAAATCCCTAAATCCCAAATTTGTCATCCCTCAAATTCCTAAACTTTCAAATCCCTAAATCCCAAATTTGTCATCCTCCAAATTCCTAAACTCCCGAATGCCTAAATCCTAAATTTGTCATCTCCCAAATTTCTAAAGTTCCGAATCTCTAAATCCCAAAATTGCCATTCCCCAAATTCCTAAAGTTCTGAATCCCTAAATCCCAAATTTGTCATCTCCTGAATTCCTAAACTTCCAAATCCCAAAATCCCAAATTTGTCATCCCCCAAATCCGTAAACTCTCAAATCCCAAAATCCCAAATTCCCAAATCCCAAATTTCTCAACTCCCCAAATCCCCCAAATTGCTAACTTCCTGCAATCTTCCCAAATTCCTAAATATCCATCTCTCCAACTCATAAATCCTCGCCTCCCAGATTTCTCAAATCCCTAACCTCCTACATCTTCATATCCCCAGCCATCTAAATTCCTAAAGTTCTAATTTAAAAAACGCACGACCCAGAACGCAACGGTTGATGACCGCTTCCCTTACGCTGCCATTTTTAACCGACTTCGAATAAAATAATTTTTAGAAAAAAAATACGCCGACTTCGAAATGCACTAAAAAGTATAAAATAATTTCTATTTCCTAATGAAGTAATTTCTATTTCATTCAATCATACAATTACGTAACAGATATGAATGAAACCTATTTACTCGTTAGGTATTATATTAAATACATTTCAACCTTTTCGTAGGCGGCGCAAAATTAAATAACATATTCAAAATAATCTTTTAATTTTGCGCCGCCTCCGAAAAGGTTGAAATGTATTTAATATAATACCTAACGAGTAAATAGGTTTCATTCATATCTGTTACGTAATTGTATGATTGAATGAAATAGAAATTACTTCATTAGGAAATAGAAATTATTTTATACTTTTTAGTGCATTTCGAAGTCGGCGTATTTTTTTTCTAAAAATTATTTTATCTCCAGCAAAATCGTACCATGAATGCCATTATACGCGTTCTTGGAGTATTTTCTCTTCATAATGCTTACGATTTCCTCAACGAGCACCAAAGCCAAGGAACGTCAACCGTACTTCCGTATTACTGTTCCTCCACCCACATACGGGACAAGAAAATGTTTCACGACGTGTTATTCGCGCCAGTTGCATATTCAACGTTGGCGGCGTCATAAAACTATCCTTGATAATGCACGACCGGAAACAGAAATGGACTAGTAATTAATATAATTCTGTTCTGTGTGATAACGGTGAATGTTTCGACCAATGACTAATGGTCTAATTCTCACGGTATCATATTTCATATCCTACGTGTCTTTTTCCCTTCTTTTAACGGCTGTTAAATTAAGGCAGCCTTTGAACTGGCGGGCGTGTGAGATGGTATTAGAATGCTTATGCAACGTTCTTTTTAAAATGAGTGACACGGTTTCATGACGGAAAAGTGAAATGAGTTTTTAAGATTAGGGGTTGTAATATAATTGCATGGATATTAATACAAGATGGTTGGTTATTGTAAAGAACAATCAATTTTAAAACAGCAAAATGGTAGATTTCTATGTAGATATTTGACACAGTTTTACAATGCAAAAGTTGTATAAAATATTTTTGGTTTATCAATTTTAATTCTTAATTTATGGTTCGTTGGAAATAACTATAATTAATTTATATATAACTACTGCATTAATTTATATATTCAATACAAAATTGTTGGCTATCTGGAGCAATCAATGAAATTTCGTAGCAAACAATAAATTTTAAAGCAGACAAGAAAATGGCGGATTATAAAATGGCATATGATGTCTCATAGAATATGAAGTTTCACACACTTTTATAATAAAAAAGTTACAGAAAATATATTTTTCATTTATCAGTTTCTACCCTAGAAAGTAACCAAGAAAGAAAATAGCAGTGGAAATATTTCATCTTTTCATTTAATATAAAATGGTTTATTACTTTCCGCACAATAGGGTTCCAGGTTATTGCATACAAAATGGCAGATTTCTAAACGTAGAAAGTCCGACACAATTCCATAACAATAAGTATGTGGTATAAAATGGTACACAAGGCTTATAAATTTAATGTTTCAAGTTTTTGATGAAGAACACATAAGAGGTTAATACTCTCAATACAAAATGGTTGGTAATGAACTGCAGCAAACAATGGAAGTCTAATAGGTAATAAAATATTAAACGTCAGATGTCTACACACAGAAAATCTACGACAATATGATGACGTAAAAATTGCACACAATAGCTTGTACTGCACTTCAATTTAAAGGTTTATTGAAATACATAAGTATTACATCGATATTGATATAAAATGATTGATGACTGCAGCAAACAATGGAGTTCTATTAGGTGATTGCAGATAAAATTACAGACTGCTGAACTTAGATGACTAAGATGACAATTTTATGATGGAAAAGTATTATAAAGTAGCATGTATGGTAGATCAGTTTCTAGCGGAAAGTTCGATAAAAATTACTACACATGTGTTTGATTGACATTTTTAAAGTAAAATGGCTTTTTGTTGAAGAAGGTGGACACATTTGTTAAATTCTATTTTTACAGATTAGATTGTTTATCAAGTTTAATTCATTCTTTAAATTTAGACGTCTTTGAAAAAAAGGAAAAGAAGCAATTGAAAATTAGATTTTATACTATGGTTTAAGTTCTAAAATTCATTATTTGATCACATGTGATTATAACCTAAAATTAACCACAGTTGGATTGTTAATTAAAATTATAATCCACGATGAAGAACAACTTTTGATTTAACCTTGATGACGTCTGCAAGTACAAGTAATCAATGAGTCCTCACGATCATAGAAATTGTGAAAGAAAATGCAAGTACCATTTATCATTTGATCCCACGCATCTACCTATGACCTAAAATTAACCACAACCAAATTACTAATTAAAATTACAATCCACGATGAAGAACAACTTTTGATCTAACCTTGATGACGTCTGCAAGTACAAGTAATCAATGAGTCCTCACGATTATAGAAATTGTGAAAGAAAATGCAAATACCATTTATTAACATTTGATCCCACGCGTCTATGACTTAAAATTAACCACAACCAAATTGCCACTTAAAACTGCTATCCACTAAACGAACTTTTGATCTAACCTTGATCACACTTAAAAATACAAGAGATCAATGAGTATACGATCATTGAGATTTCGAAAGCGAACGCAAGTTTCCAAATTCGTCACCGTCGTGCATTATAAGCTAACAGATTGCGCAACAGACAGAAGACACAGAACAGATTGAAAATAATCCATGATTGCAGCCGGTTCACCACACGCGAAAATAACCCACGCTCAAGGGATATAACGCCGCGGGTGAAATAGCAAAAGGGACGACATTGAGGCTGGCTAGCTGCCAAACGGGAAGATAACATAGGATCGCAGATGCTCTTCTCGGTTCGGATCACATCGGAGGAACCTGCGTTACGGTTGCCCAGCAGCGGAACCACGAAGATGCGAGCTCTACACACCCGGAGATTTTTACCAAGTCCAAAGGCCGCCTGATTTAGACGCAGCTCGTGCACAACTGCCTAGCCCCTCGCTCCAGGAACCTCCGCGTTAGCTCTGCTCCGATTTCGACTCGCGCCTAGTACTCACGGCTTGCAGTAGCCTAGGAAATAATTCACAGCGCGGCTAAAGATACATTCCGTGGAATCTGAATAGGAACCACGGACATTTCTTTCTGGTCAGATTGATTTCGTCTAGTGATGCTACAAGTAGACGAGATTGGCATTTCAGAATTTTTGGGCTTGAGGAACTTGGCGACTTCTGGTATTTGGCACGCTTCAAAGCTTGGCAGGTTGAAATAGTGGCAATTTGAGACTTTGGGACACTTGGTCTTTGGAATATATGATGGTTTGAGAAGTATGGGACTCTGGGACTTTGGGAAATTTGGGACTATTTGAGCAACTTGCAATATTGGGAAACTTAAGACTATACACAATTTGGGTCCTTGAGACTTTGAGGCATTAAAAGAGTTGAAACTATGAGAAATTTGAAACTTTGGGAAATTTAAAACTGTGAGAAATTTGGGATTCTGCGACTTTGGGAAATTTGGGACTATTTGGGCTTGAGGAACTTGGCGACTTCTGGTATTTGGCACGCTTCAAAGCTTGGCAGGTTGAAATAGTGGCAATTTGAGACTTTGGGACACTTGGTCTTTGGAATATAGAGAACTGTGAGAAATTTGGGACTCTGGGACTTTGGGAAATTTGGGATTATTTGAGCAACTTGCAATATTGGGAAACTTAAGATTATACACAATTTGGGTCCTTGAGGCTTTGAGACATTGAAAGAATTAGAACTATGAGAAATTTGAAACTTTGGGAAATTTAAAACTGTGAGAAATTTGGGATTCTGCGACTTTGGGAAATTTGGGACTATTTGGGCAATTTAGAACTTTGGGAAACTTAAGACCTAACACAATTTGGGTCTTTGAGACTTTGAGACATCGAAAGAGTTGGAACTATGAGAAATTTGAAACTTTGGGAAATTTAAGACTGTGAGAAATTTGGGATTCTGGGACTTTGGGAAATTTCGGACTATGGGAATTTTAAGATTATGTAAAATTTGGGTTTCTGACATTTTGAGACTTTGAGAGATTTGAAACTGTGTGAAATTTGGAATTTTGAGACTGTAAGAAATTTAGGACACTGGGACCCTCAGACTCTAGGACTTTGGGAAGTTTGGAACTGCAAGAAATTTGAAACTATGTGAAATGTGTAACAATGGGAAATTTAAGACAAATTTAGGGTCCCAAAAGCGAAATTTGGGACCCTAAAACTTTGAGACTTTGAGACATTTGGAATTTTGGAAGACTTGGTCTCTGAGAAATTTGGAACCTTGAAAGACTTGAAACTTGAGAAATTTGAAACTTGGAAAATTTGGAACCTTGAGAGATTTGGAACTTGAACAATTTGGAAGCCTAAGAGCTTTAGAATTTGTTAAATTTGGAACCTTGAGAGGTTTGGAACTTGGTGTATTTGGGACCTTGAGAGGTTTGGACCCTGAGAAATGTGGAACCTTGAGAAATTTGAAACTTGGAAAATTTGGAACCTTGAAAAATTTGGAACTTCAACAATTTGGAAGCCTAAGAGTTTTGGAACTTGTTAAATTTGGAACTTTGAGAGGTTTACAACTTGGGACATTTGGGATCTAGAGAGATTTGGGACCCTATGACTTTGAGACTCTGAGCCTCTGGGTCTTTGGGAAATTTAATACTATGAGAAATTTGGGACCCTAAGACTTGGAACTTTGGGAAATATGGGACTATGAGAAATTTGGGACCCTAAGACTTGGAACTTTGGGAAATATGGGACTATGAGAAATTCTGGAGCTATGGGAATATTTTAATGTTAAGAACCTCGTCACTTCAGTACATTTGTAATTTTGGTAATGTTTGAACTTGTGGATCTAAATGCCTAAAATTTCTTCACATTTGAACTTAAATGTACATATGCGAATCACTTCAGATGAGTATTTTGTGTGGACTTAAAGCTAAAATTATACTCAAATAAAAAAAAAAGTTAACACACACTGGAATATTCAAGTTAAACATAAAATATGAGTTACCACCACAGTTAAAAATACTAAAAGTATAATTTTACTTCCGCGGCACTTTGCATCACGCACTATTTCCTTTCTGCATTTCACCTTGTTCCTAAAGTAACGTTGTACAAAGGTCATCGTTGTAATTACTATAAAAAAGGGTAACGAATATATCCAGTTTTCCTTCCTCGAAGGAAGAGAAAGAACGCAGAGTGAAAGAGATTTGGAGCAACGAGGGTGTAATAAGGAACTGCGCGAAGCGTATTTGCGGGAAGCTGTGTCTCGCTCGAGCGTTAAGCGTAAAAAACTTTCTTAATAGCTTAAAACGAGCTCGGTTCTCAAGGCCCTTATGCCGGCAAACAGGATGTGGTAATTATTTGCTGGCCGCGTACTCATCTTGCGCTAGTAGGCGAATGTCAACAGTTTATCACTCTTTATGTAAACGGTGACTACCTTATTCGTGCGGACGGTGAATAATCAGTGGGAATCAATTGAAATTTACATTTGTAGACGTCTATTTAAAGAATACATACGAGGTCAGATGGTATTACTAAAACCTGTTAATACTGCTCGAAAGAGTATCTAGATGGAACTACAAGGATTTCTGGAAATAATAGAATGTATGCTCGTTGCAAGAGTTTTTTATAATCAGATATTACTGCATTATAGACTTTGCAATGTAACAAGTACAAATTCAAAGATTTTTAAGGTTTTGGACGTTATGTTGTTGTAGGTGTTCTAATACTGTTTGAAAAAGTATCTAGATGGAACTACAAGGATTTCTGGAAATAATAGAATGCGTACTCGTTGCAACAGTTACTTATAATCAGATATTACTGCACTATAGACTTTGCAATGTAACAAGTACAAATTCAAAGATTTTTAAGGTTTTGTAGATTATGTTGTTGTAGGTCTATTGTCTGATTTTTTGACTTTCACGAATTCCAATTTTTTGAAGTCAAGTTTTTTTTTCAGACTGAAATTTACAGAGTTTCACAAGTTTTCTAAATTTCATGCTGTACATTTTTATATTTCCCCATATTCAAACAATTATTTACCTGCTTAAAATATGACAGGTTTAAGATATTTCTGATCATGCGATCGCAGAATAATTTCTTTCAATATCCTGTTTTTCAACTTGTTTTTAATCAAATACGTTTGTAAAATGAAGGACGTTCAAAGCGTCGAGAGCGGAAACGTTTCGTTGGTCCTCGTGTTTCGAAAACGCGAGATTTGGTAACACGATAGCAGCAAACACGAGAGGGAAACCAATCAAGGGTCTTCCAATGGCGACATTTCGCCCTTGCAGAACAACGAACTTGAACCACGGAATCGATCATGGTAATCCGGTCACGTAGACATTTAACCCTACGCACGTTCCCCTTGCAGCATCTAATACTTTCCCTTGTTCAGAACGGATGTTTCTCGGAATCGTTGCAGACACAGCGAGGAAACCTACGCACGTATCTCGAACCTCTCTCGTGAGCGTCCGACTTCAATGGTTCATCCGTGAACCTATAAAAATCACGCCTTTGTATGATTTGTTGCATGGCAATAGAGGTGCACGGGTCATGCGGGGATCCCTGCCTCGAGAAACACCGAAAGAACTTCGGGAAAGATCGGATGTAGGCGATCTTGATATATTGCCATGAATTGTGCATTTCATGTTTAGAAGGTTGTTTCGATATTTTCTAGTTAGAGGTTTTGGAAATTTCAGGTTTTGATAGTGGCTCAGGTGGAAATTTTTTAAATATTTAAGTACTTTAATTTGTGGTTTTGTGGATTCAAAAAATTATGGAAATATATATAATAGAAAATTGGGTACATAGGAACTTGGAAATTTGGGAATTCCAAAATGTGAAGAATTGAAGAATTGAAAAATGGAAGATTTGAAGAATTGAAGAATTGAAGAATGGAAGAATGGAAGAATTGAAGAATGGAAGACCTGAGGAATTGAAAAAGGGAAGAATTGAAGAATTGAAGAATGAAAGACCTGAGGAATTGAAAAAGGGAAGAATTGAAGAATTGAAGAATTGAAGAATGAAAGAATTGAAGAATTGAAGAATGGAAGAATGGAAGAACTGAGGAATTAAAAAAATGGAAGAATGGAAGAATGGAGGAAATTGAAAGAAGGAAAAATTGAAAAATGGAAAACTTAAAAACTTAAGAACTTAAAAATTTGAAAACTTGAAAACTTGAAAACTTGAAAACTTGAAAAATTGAAGAATTGGAGAATTAAAAAATTGAAAAATTGAAAAATTGAAGAATTGGAGAATTAAAAAATTGAAAAATTGAATGATGGGAAAGATAGAAAAATAGAAAAAAAATACTGATCGAATTGAGTAACCTCCTCCTTTTTCGAAGTCGGTTAAAAATAGGAAACTAGAAAAGTAGGAAAATAAAAAATGAGAAAATTGGAAGATTGAAAAATTGAAAAATTGAAAAACAGAAAAATAGAAAAATAGAAAAGTAGGAAAATAA